GTAAAAATCCTATTGACGCAGCTTCCTACAGACCAATTAGCCTTTTATCATGCCTCTCAAAAGTCTTTGAAAAGATCATTCATAAAAGAATTAGCCATATACTGGAGGAGATAAATTTTCTGCCGAAACATCAATTTGGTTTCCAGAGAAAACACTCTACCATCGAACAAGTACACAGAGTCGCTGATTTCATATATAATGCCTTCCACCACAAAAAATATTGTTCAGCAGTCTTTTTGGATATTAGTCAAGCATTTGACAAAGTCTGGCACCAAGGCCTATTTTACAAACTGAAAAAGATATTGCCATATAATTACTACCTCCTGATAAAAGAATACTTGACTGAAAGAAAGTTTATTGTCAGCTATAAAGACGAGACTTCCAGCATCAGAAATATTTCCTCTGGAGTACCACAGGGTAGCGTCTTGGGACCACTGCTGTACATCATTTTTACCGCAGATATACCAGTAAATCCAAATACAATGATTGCCACCTTTGCCGATGATACGGGTATTTTAGCCCAACACGATGACCATATACTCGCATCCACAGTTTTACAGCAGCATATCAACCAGCTAGAAAATTGGCTAAATACCTGGAGAATAAAAGTTAACACCACTAAATCAGCGCACATTACTTTCACCCTCCGCCATAATTCGTGTCCCACAGTCACATTTAATAATGTGCCGGTACCTCAAACAAATGCAGTTAAGTATCTGGGGATCCACTTGGATCGGAGACTCACCTGGCGAGAACACATAATCAAGAAACGCCAGCAGCTTGAACTTACGCGCAGGCAACTATACTGGCTAATTGGCTGGAGATCGAAAGTTTCCATTGAAAACAAAATACTAATTTACAAAACTATTATCAAACCAATTTGGACTTACGGCTTGCAACTCTGGGGAGCGGCCAGCAAGTCAAATATTACAATTTTGCAGAGATTCCAGAATAAAATTTTAAAACAGATTGCAAACGCCCCAAATTATGTTCCTACCTGGCTGTTACATCGAGATCTGCGCATACGAACCATTGAGGAAGAGATTTTCCAGTATTGCACCAAATACAAGAACCGACTAACACATCATCCCAACCAATTGGCGAATGACCTGCTCAGACCAGTTCCACCTAAGCGACTTAAGAAACAAACTTGCAATGAAATACTACATAATATTAATTGAATATATAAATATATAAAATAAGTGTATTAAAAGAATATTTTATAATTATTAATTAAGACATTGTAATTAGAAGGAGCTATCAGTGGGTAGTTATCCTTCTCACGCCATTTTCCATAATTGTCAAAAATTTTAGCCTAATGTACATTGTATAGATTGCTATGATAAATAAACAAAAAAAAAAAAAAAAAAAAAAAAAAAAAATAAT